TGCGTAAGTGCACATGTGATCATGTGTGTGTGTGCATGTATGTGCATACAAGTGTATGCATGAGCTTGGACACTTGTTCATATGTGGGTGACTTCATATATGTGAGTGTGGGTAAAGCAATTTATACTTTTATAACACCTGAAAATGAAATGTAGATATCAAAGTAAAATATTCAGTTTTATGACAAAAATAGGTAAACCATTTAATGATTATGAGGTGTACATTTGGTTTCTGTAATGTGTGCTACTTAGATGTGAGTGAGTTTGATAAATTGCCAAAAAATATGAACAATGGACCTTTGAAGTATATAAGTTTAAATACACAGTGCAATTATGATTATATGTCTAGTTTGAATTATTATTCCTTATATATTTTAATGGTATTTTGAAGACATTTGAAAAGAATTGACAAAATCTGATGGCAGTGTATTATTATAGTGCCAAAGAAAATGAGAATTGAACATAGAAAACAGTAAAGGCAAGCATACACATACATGTGGTTGTTCACAGTATGCACACAAACACATTTACTGTTTTGGGAGAATCATGCACACACACACATTATTCATCATCATCATCATCATCATCATCATCATCATCATCATCATCATCATCATCATCATCATCATCATCATCATCATCATCATCATCATCATCATCATCATCCAGTCAATCCACTGCTGAACATAGGCCTCTCCCAATATTTTCCAATTTTGTCTCTTGCGTTTTTTGTTTCCAGTCTTGGCCCCCAAATTCCAATATTTTGTCACGCCACCTTGTCACTGGTCTGGCCCTTGGTCTCTTATGTTATCTATAACCCAGTCAGTTACTTTGTCCATCTGCTGTCCTGTCTTTGATATATATGACCTGCCCATTGTCATTTTTTCTTTTTGATGTTCCTAAGTATATCTTATATCAGTGGGGAGGTCTGACAAAGGTTTTCTTATGTGGAGGAGAAGAGGGAATAGATGTCCAAAGAGCAGAGGGAGAGGTGGGTGTAGGAGAGGATGTGGTAGAAGATAACTATAACTGGTAGTGAGAAGGAGGGGGAGGGGTAGGCATCGGGGAAGTGGTAGAGATTGAAGTATCTGGATTCAGACTGGAAAAGGAATTTGACTGTGGGAGAGAAGGAGTAGAGATAGGTTGGTTTAGGGTATAGGGAAGAGATCCTGGGGGAGATGTTGAGAATTCCGGAGAAGATGGGGACAGAGTGGAGTGAAGGACAGTTTTGGAATAGGTTGAAAGAGAAAAACCTCATCGGCGTGCTTCTTGTCTGGGCTCATATAGAGTGAGGCCTAGTCTGAATATGAGATATGCTACCTCAGATTTGAGCATGTAGGCAAGGCAGTTCTAATAAAATACATTATGGGAGCCACCACAAGAGGTCGACATGGTCAGACAGGATTCCATTCCATTAATATAAACTTCATGGGGGAGGTCATGTCTATGGAAGGTAATCTTGCCAATATTGTACCAGAAACAGTTCTGATACACGTGTTAAGGGAAGAGTGAGGTTGGGCAGGAATGGTGAGGTCAGGGTAAATAATGCATCAAGCTTAGGACTCAAATGTAACTGTGACAAGGCATGAACAATCAGTGAAAGGAAATTTTGCCTACCTGTTTTTGGAGACATTGTTGGAAGAGAAGGGTATTGTCATTACTGGACTGTAGGGGAACCACAAGAATTGCTCCCACTTGGCTGGGCCAAAAAGGGTACTCAAAAGGTTTGCAGAGGTGGAAACAGAAGAAGGACGAGGGTGGGAGGAAAATGGGATGGTATGGAGAGAGGTAGTACTGTTGGGAGGAGGGCAATAAGGATGAAGAATAGTAATATGGGAGGTGGGGGTAGATAAGGAAGAAGACTGCAGTAGAAGATGGAGTGGGAAATGTTGGGGAGAGGAAGGGATGTATTCTGAAGGTTGGGTAATGACCTGGGAGGATGATTTGGAATAGATACAGTCGACAGAAAACATTAAAGAGGTAGTATTAGTATTAGTGATCTGAGCCGTGGTCAAAGGAGAGGCAGGGGTCCGGAAACCAATGAAATCAAATTTAGATAGGCTAGTTGATGAAGGAGCAACACTTAATGCCCCTAATAAGAGTAAAAAAATATTACTGGCCAGGTTGAACCAGAAATAAATGGGGAGAGGAAATGGTCTACCCTCAGGGTCCTCATGAGGGGTAAGGGCTAGGCAATTAACCATAGGGAATACCATGCCCATGACTCCCAGAGGCTGTTCATGATTGACACAAAGCCAGCCTTACATACTTTCAGCTCACAGCTTAGGAAGTGGACAGAAGAAGGGGATGATGAAGAGAGGGAAAGGAAAGGTGGAGAAGAATAGACTACAAAATTAGTTGAGGTGAGGGCCAAGGTTCAAAGTAAGGGCAATTCCCTACCTTGAACCCCAGTCCCCGTCTCCTGGGGCCCCTCACAACAACAACAAGCAACGGATTAGGGTGGTTTGCGATTGAAAGGAAAATTCATTTCAGAAAGGGAAGAGAGATTGGTTCAGTTTATCATTACTGATTAATAACACATCAGGATAATAAATGACAAGTAATAACAACATTTGCCAAAATATATATTGTTATCAAGAGGTTTATTTACAGTTAATTGCATTGATAATTGCTTTAACAAGAAATTGCATTGACAATTGCCTGTGCAAAGGAACATGCTCATTAAAAACATCATGCTATATAAACAAAATAGTTTCAAATATTTAAATTATTTCTTAGGATATATTTTGTATTTCTATATTTTTTTTCATCATGACATTGTAATTCAGAAGAAACATGTAATATGGCTATTAATACTACTGAACTCCCTCCTATATAAGCAACAAGGTTTCTATTCTCATAAGGTCATTAACTTTACCAGGGCTTTCAATAATTCAAGTATTTTTTTTATTTCTTTATACAAAAATATGATGAAATGAATACAGTTCTGAGACTTTTTTCTATACAAATATAAGAGTTTTAAAAGTGACATTTCTAATAATGTTTACTTCTGTTTTTTTTTTATGTTTCTCAGATTTCTTTCACTTTGATTTTTAATTAATCTATGCCAATACCAAAGTTCCCTTTATTGTTTTAAGATGTGTGAATATACATTAATATTCATAATATTATAAATCAAGCCAGAAGAATAGGCACATTTGCTGATAAGCTTAAAATAAAAAGGACTATATTCAGTAACTATTTTGCCAAAATCTATGAAACTCGTTAACATGCACCGGGAAAATATACATTTCCGTAATTATTTTCTGATATTGTTCATAAAAGTGATCCCCTGTGTGAGAGGTAAATTTCAAATTATACTCTCAGAAAATAAAAAATAAAAATACAGAGAAAATATAATACTGTTGAATCATAAAAAAATAAATAAATAATAATAATAATAATAATAATAATAACAACATTCAACTATGAACTATACAAGTTTTCAGATCTCCTGTACATATAACTCCGAACATATTTCCACCATATATGTACACAAAAATGAAAACATAAAAAAAAGCAAACAATCGCATCAAAAAATAAATCACGGAACCAGAGGAAGGCAAGTGTTTGGCCTCGACCGAATTACTTCTTGCGGCTGAGGAAGTTCATGACGGCCTTAATGCAGTCGTCCGAGGTCCAGCGCTCAACCAGCCGGTCGCATTCAAGGTCGTTCACCTGGGAGAGGGAGAGAGGGGGTGAGAGAAAGAAAAAATATGTATTGATAAAAACTGAATATATTGGGTTTTGTGTGTGTGACTGGGAGGGAGGGAAGGAGGGAGGGAGGGAGGGAGGGAGGGAGGGAGGGAAGGAGAGAGGGAAGGAGAGAGGGAGGGAGGGAGAGGGGGGGGAGGGAGAGAGAGAGAGAGAGAGAGAGAGAGAGAGAGAGAGAGAGAGAGAGAGAGAGAGAGAGAGAGAGAGAGAGAGAGAGAGAGAGAGAGAAAATAGATATATCTCTATCTTTTTTATCTATCTATATAGACTTAAATATTGGGTTTTGTGTATGATTCACCTGTTTAATGTAGAGAAAGAGAAAAATGAGATATAAAAACATAATTTATTGGGATTTATGTATACCTTGTAAGAAATTATAGAAAGTATAACTAGGAGTCTGCTCATTAACATCTATCTTTCTATTGCATTATCATGAAATATAGAGACACCTGTATGAATCTGTTTTTTGTTTTGCTTTTATTGTTATCTTTAGACAGCCTTTCATATACCTACATATTTCTATACTTTCCCATATTTTTATTTACCTTTCTAATACCAAACTATCTACTTTTCCATCTCTATCTGCAACAGATATATTTATCTAGATTTCCCACACACCACCCTAAAAAAAACAACAAGAACAAGAACAAGAACAACAACAACCCAAGTAAGTTTGGCCAGCGTCTTGTGCAAGTCCGCAGAAGGCCAAAATTTTAGTGGTATAATGCAACCTAAAAATGCACTTTTCAACTAATGAAAATCCCACCAACCAATATGCAACCAAGCATAAATAAAGTCTTACAAGGATACCTAAAGCAGCAGCTCATCCCACTTCCTGAAGCTGTTTGCCCTTATTCTACCCTTCTACATGAAATTAAAGTCCAATCTACCTTTGTACCTGACCTTATTATCCAGTCTTTTAATTAATTTACATTTCTATCTACCATTCTCCCTAAACCTATGATTCAATCAATTTACAGTTATCACTATACTAATATAACTATAATATTTTTTATTACTATTACTACTAGCAATCTTTATTACTGTTATTTCTATTACTTACTAGTAATATTACCAGTTATTATTACAATTATTATTGTTATTATCATTACTATAATTTTTATTATCATCATCATTGTCATTATCATCATCATTTTCTTTATCATCATCATCATCATCATTTTCTTTATTACTATCATCATCATCATTTTCTTTACTACTATCATCATCATCATTTTCTTTACTACTATCATCATCATCATTTTCTTTACTACTATCATCATCATCATTTTCTTTATTACTATCATCATCATCATTTTTTATCTATCTCAAAAAATCACAGACCCAAACTCTACCCACCTTGTGCAGCACATCCTTTTCTATGTCACGTGTCAAGGCCTTTGAATAAACCAAAGACTTGACGGGCAGTTTTGCATAGGCCTGCAATCTAGGCCAGATCTCCTGCTGCAGGCTGGCATCGGGCAACACCTCTGTGACCAGCCCTAGGTCGCAAGCCTGGTGGGCAGTAATCTGTGCGGAGAAAGAACTCATGTTGAGTTCTGTCGAATTGAAATGTTGGTCTTTATATAAAATGAATGTGGCATAGTTAACCCATTGATGCCAAGTTAATGCACTATCCATTGTAGTTCTTTTTTGACAATTTATTTTTACAGATTGATGGCTTCACATGCGCTTGGTCCCCAAGAACTGAATTTCTACTACTAACCCAAGTCTTTGAACCTTCAGGAAAAAAAAAAAAAAAAAATCTCATACTATAACTATCATCACTTATTATCATTATTATTGACATTCCTATTTTTTTTATTATTATCAATATCAATTAGAGCAAAGTAAAAGCTTTTCTTTATTCAAATTCAAGAAATGGGGTAAACAGGGGAGGCCAGGTAATCCTAATACTTGACTCCTGAGTGAAAAGGCACCTCCGGAATCATCTATATATAAACAGAATTAATAAAATGTTTCAACAATCAGTATTAGATTCTTATTATTCCTGCAAAAAAACAATCTTTTAGCTGAAAAAATTTATTTCAGATAAACTATTTAAGAAGAGTTAAACTAATACTATAAACAATACTTCACCCCAATCATAAATACATATGCAAAAATAATATAATAAAAATGATATAGGCATGAAAAAAAAGAACAATGACTGGCAGTTATGAAGACAAATCCCAACCCATGTGACATTAACCCCTTTTATACAGTGACATCAGTTTCAGTGTCATGAAGCGCCAGTGGATGCCAATGATGACATCATAATTCCAATTTATTTTAGAAGAAGCTGTATTAGATAAGAGACTCAAGACAATGCATTCAATGTTTCTGCTTGTGTGCGAGTGCCCCGTACACAAGCATCGCGTGTCTTTTAAAACCTCCAGGGGAAAACGGTTAAATCATCTCCCTACAACACAAATAACAATCTCACCTTCTTGTTGAAGAGCAGCAGCTCGTTCGCCTTGCCAGGGCCCATGATCTTGGGGAAGGTATAGGACGAGCACCCTTCAGGGGACTGGCCGAGGTTACTAAATGGCGTGTTGAAAGTTGCCTGGGGAAAATGCAGGCAGTTTTAGCACACATCTGGCAACTGGTGACACATATCTCTTACAATCCTGTAGTCTTACAGTGATGGCTTTTATCCACACCACACCATCTCACCTTGTCTGTGGCATAGACGGCATCGTAGAGTCCCAAGACGGTGACAGACACACCGATGGCATGGCCGTTAATGACTGCGATGAGAGGCTTTGGGAAATCGATGAACGCTGACACGAACCTGGACAGAGAATTAAAGAGTATTTTGAATGAGGAATTGTGGGGAAAAAAAGGTTTATAAAAAATATAGAGGAAGTTATGAGTCCCTATAGTTCTTTTACTCATATTAGGACAAAAAAATAAATAAATAAATGGATAATAACAGGCATCCAAATATCCTGCCATGAAAAGGAAATTACAGGAGGAAGACAAAGAAGGGAAGATCTGAGACGGAAGAAAAGAAAATAGTGGGAGAGGGAGAGGGAGAAAGAGAAAAAGAATAATAAAGAGAAAGAGGAAAAATGTGGAAGAGAAATAGAAAGAAAGAAAGAAAGAAAGAGAGAGAAACAAACACCAGTACTGAGGACTTTACCTATTGAGCAAAACTCCACCATTTTTTGAGTGTTCGTGTATGTTCTCCGGAGAAACGTTGGCGAAGTTGGAGAGGTCATTGCCCGAGCAGTAGTAGTTGCCCGCTCCCGTCGTCACTGTGATGACTGTGGCTGGGTCGTCTGCTGCTTCTTTGAGGGCAGCAATCCACTCCTCGTACATCTATGATGAATTTTGTAAAGGAAATGTTCTGAAGTCATTGCTAGACTGGCAGTATAAATAATTTGATCAACTATTCTATACTTTTTCATAATAAATGAATATGAATGCACGTTAAATATGAACATACATTATATATGGTATAATTACATCCCTCCTCCTATCAATACATGTCCTCAACACGCAAGCACAACCAGACACCCACACTCATAAAGAAGAAAACTCAACCAGCTTGAAATCTGAAATCAGTCCCGTTCCCACTTCAAAAAACCAAACGCATTCAGTCATCAACCCAGTCACTGACCGAACTCTCACCTCCACAGTGATGGCATTCATCTTGGACGGTCGGTTTAGGGTGATGGTCCTCAACCCGTTCTCGCAAGTTACCAGCAAGTTCTTGTATTTCTGGCCCGATTCAGCTTGTGCTTTGGCTTGCTCTTCCTGAAAGAGATTATTGTTGTTATTATCATTTTTATTATCATTGTGGTCATCATCACCACCATCATTAACATTATCACTACTTCCACATTATTACTGCTATCATTATTTTCATTATCATCATCATCATTACTATTATTATCATTACTTTTAATATCAATATACTAATATAACTACTATCCTTTATTATTACTATTACAACTAGCAATTTTTATTATCACTATCACTTAATAATAATATTACTGATATTATCATTATTATCATTTTTACTATTATCAATATCATTATCATTATTATTATCATCATTTTCTTTATTACTGTCATCATCAAAATTATCCTTATCACTATCACAATTTTTGTTATCATTATCACCATAACCTACTGCTACTATCATCATCCTAATCCCTATCATCCTCTTAACATCCTCCTCACTCTCATTACTATTACCATCATTATTCTCATCATCATTTTCATCACTTTCTTGTATCATAACCATCACTATCAACTACACACAACTTTCCCTCCAGCCGGCCAGCAGACTCACCTCGGCCCCAGCCAGAGAATTCACAAAGGCAATGTAGTTCTTCTGTGCCTCCTCCTGGCTCATGTTTCCGAGGCTATTCCAGGCGTCCCACTTGGCCCTGCCCACAAAGTCCATCATGCCCGGACGCTTAGTAGTCACGGCCCCCACAGTGGCCTGCTTGAACAGAGCGTAGATCTTCAGCTTGGCCTCGTTGCCTGGTAGGAGGTAGTGGGATTACTGGCTTAATAAGGTAGTGCTTGTTGATGTTGATGTTGATGTTGATGTGGATGTGGATGTGGATGTTGATGTTGATGATAATGTTGATGTGGCACAAAAAATAATAATACTAAATAATAATAATCATTCAATTAGATTTTCAAAGATATAAAAATATAAATAATACTTACCTGGGTCTTCCGATAGAGTCCCGAGCCTAGCCTTAGCCGACTCAAACTCTGGACTGAGGGCACTCATCAGCCTTACTTGTGCAGCACCCCAAGCCGGAGCAAGCTGGTGGGAAGCCAAGCCATAGCCGGCCCCAATTCCTCGTCTGGGGGAAAAAAGGGTGTGGGTTAAAAGGCGGAGGTTGAGGAATGTTGTACTGAAAACTATGGGTATCATATGTTTGTATTTCTGTATCATAAAGCAGCTTTATTTTCGATGAAAACATCATTAATGAAAAGTGTCTCAGGATCCATCAATCTACTGAAATCATACAGTTCCTATTATCCTGAAAACCCTTACTGCTGTGCAGTGAAAAGATAGTCTTTCTTCTGGATGTTCAGCAACTTCTTGATTGATATAATAGAATGTGTTCTGGTTACTATCATTATTTTGGAAATTCTTTAGAGTATGGATGCACTCGCCAGAGCCTAAGTGCCCATCTCCATGTCACAAACTTTATTTCAGCAATCTAAATTGCAATTGCAATGTGTACATGCCTTTAGGGCACTGCCTGAGTGGAGGGTTGATGGGGGGGAGGGGGGGGGCTCTGTCCCTTAACATTCCCCAGGAATCACTGTCTTCACCTAATACTTGAAAGTGCTGAGTAGACTTTGGCTGTGAGCAGCAAGCTTATCTTTAGAGTTACCATTGGTGTCTGCCAATTATTTCCTGATTTTTTATCTACAAGAATATCATCAACAGTTTGCCTAGCTTAGTACATCCATAATATAAAGTGTAATCTTTACTTTTTGTCATAAACTTACAATATTCAGAGCTAGTCTGTGCTTAAAACTAACACACGTAATAATCTCAACTCGTCTAAGAATACCTCAGGACACACACACCCTTACACATTCCAACCAGGTAAGATCTCAACGACCTACGTGGCAATTTACGATCAATTCAGGAACCAGTCCAATATCTATCAATCAGTGACATAAAGGGTGGCGCTCTGCTGTCCCATCTTGGCGTACGTAATGCCTCGTAAACTGGTCGCAGATCAGGGCGAGCGTGGAGTGGGCTTTGGACCGAACTCGAATAATTAAACAAGGAAAAGAAACAGAAATTTTAATGAGAGAAAAAAGCAAAAGAAACAGAAATTTTAATGAGAGAAAAAAGGAAAAGAAACAGAAATTTTTAATGAGAGAAATAGCAACTTTTTAATAAATTCCATTTAAAAAGGTAAGGCAGGTGTCTTCTCAACATTTACAGATCAACCACAAAAGATGAAGTATGTAAAATAAAGAAAAGAAAAAAAGAAAATAGGCCAAAGAAAAATTAATAAACACTTTTAAAACCCGTAAAAAACCGAAGACTAAGAACTTGTAAGTAAGGAAGAAAGCCTAACTAATATCTCAATCTCTCGTTATTTCTTTAACATTAATCTTCTTAAACTTAAACTGTAGGTGATTTGAATATCCACATACTTGTACACCGAAGTGAGCCTCGTCACACAGCGTAGAGAAGCCATTTTCGCGAATAATTGACGAAAATAACGTGAGGGAGAGAAACGTGATCAGCTGATTGACGAAAACAACAACCGGCTGGGAGGAGATAGAGA